TGTATGAGGGTTTCAATTTTTCCACATTCTTGCCCTTACTTGTTTTTTATGTACCTCGTGAACCCCGAAAATCTGAGACAGGTCTTAATTTAGAAAGTTTATTTTTCCAAGGTTGAGGATGCACCCGTGACACTGCCCCAGGAGGTCCTGATAACATGCACCCGAGGTGGTCGGGGCACAGCTTCGTTTTATACATTTTAGGGAGACATGAGACATCAATCAATATATGTAAGAAGAACATTGGTTCAGTCTGGAAAGGCGGGACAACTTAAAGCAAGGGCAGGAAGACTCAAAGGGAAGGGGGCCTCCAGGTCACACATAGGTGAGAGATGAACAGTTGCATTCTTGTGAGTTTCTGATCAGCCTTTCCAAAGGAGGCAGTCAGCTGTGCATCTGTCTCGGTGAGCAGAGGGCTGACTTTGATGAGAATGGGAGGCAGATTGAAGGGACCCCAGATACCTTCCTCTCACAGCCTTGTATTATGGTCATCCTGGTAGGTATAAAATGATATTGTGGTTTTGATTTGCATTTTCCTAATGGTTAGTGATTGTTCCTCAGTGGCCAGGCCTATACAAATCTGCTCCAAAGTCAGAGGAAGCTGAGAGGCCAAAGAAAGAGGCTGGCAAAACTAGTTCTTTAGAGAGAAACATTTAATAGGGACTTATGAACAGAAGCCACATCTGTGTGTCTGGCAGTGGTGATACAAGATAGTGGATTCCCAACCATCACCCCCAGGCCCAGGGCCCCCCCAGACCCAGGGCTCCCCCAGACCCAGGGCTTACATACTGTGAAAGGAAAGTAAATCTTGCCACCCCCAACTCATTAAGCCAAAGGGAAAAGTTAAGCTGGGAACTGGGTCAGGCAAACCTGCCTCCCCTTTTGGTTCCTAAATAAGAGGGCTACACGATGAAAACCTACACACCTCCCCCATATTTTGCCCACAAGGAAATTCCTGGTGAGCTCCAAGATTTCTACCCTAAGGTGTTTCTGTTAACATTTCGCCATGGTAATGTAAATCGATAGCTTATCTTTACAGGTGCAGTCATCCCCTGCCTACCGGATTCAAATGCATATCTGATTGTTCCCCTGCCCTTTTGTTATGTTTTGGCTATGTTACCTTCTGTAATAATGCAGATTCCTCTGCCCCATTTGTCTGTCATCTTATGTTAAAAAGAAAAAAAAAATGCAGATTCACTGAACCAGACAAAGAAAATGGCTATTTTCCCCTACCCTCCTCTTATTTGAAATTTGTGTACTTCTCAATATCCCACCCTTTCCCCTTTACATTTGGAGCCCTCGAAATAATCTTTGGAGAAAGGTATAGACCTGTCTCCCAGGCACGAGTCCTTACCTTTGGCAAATAAGCCTCCTAAAATGATTGAGACTGGCCTCATCATTTTTCTCGACTGACACTGGTAACCACTAAGGGAACCTGAGTGAAGGCGGCCCAGCCTGTAGCAGCTCTCCTATTGGTGCTTGGCACTGGTCTGGGCACCTTGTAACCCAAACTAATAGGACAATTTGCTGAAGTCTGGGACCTCTTTTTTCCAGGGATCCCTGATCTTCCAGTGTTTTTCAGTTGGGGGTCAGAGGTTTATTTGCTCTTCAAAAAAAAAAAAAAAATCTCCTTTTTTCCTGGGAGTTTCCAATCGCTTCCATCAAGGAAGGCAGCCTGTCTGCTTCTGCATCTGTGGAGAGCACTGTTCAGCTTGGGCTCCTATCACTAGGTAAGGAACTGGTTTGGGATTTTGTCTTACAAATTCTTTTTAAATGACTAAAGTTAGCATTAACAACCCGCTGTTGTTAATTTCTGCTTACACTTGAGTGCTCAGAAATCATGTAAGTTGTGTGATCATTGTTAGTTTTGCTTAGCTGTTTTGTTGTTTCCGTCTTGTTGAGTTGTGTGTGTGTGTGTTTCAATCCTTTCCGCTACCGGATTTGACCAATTCCAAACCCTCTAGCTTATGAGTGTGGAATTTTCTAAGGAAATAAGAGCACTTTACTCCCCTCAGCCCTTCAGGGCATTCTCAGGTGACTGAGAATCATGTGAAGGTGTCTGGGAGGAAAGCTCCTTAGGACGTGCAGCAGCTTTGAGCCGGTTCCCTCAGAAGACCGTACTTAAGGTCTAATCTCATCTGGTTTCCCTCAGAAGAACATATTTAAGGTCTAATCTCATCTGGTTCCCCCTCAGAAGAACGTACTTAAGGTCTAATCTCATCTGGTTCCCTCAGAAGAAAGTACTTAAGGTCTAATTGCATCTGGTTTCCCCTCAGAAGAACGTACTTAAGGTCTAATCTCATCTGGTTTCCTCAGAAGAATGTACTTAAGGTCTAATTGCATCTGATTTCCCTCAGAAGAACGTACTTAAGGTCTAATCTCATCTGGTTCCCTCAGAAGAATGTATTTAAGGTCTAATCTCATCTAGTTTCCCCTCAGAAGAACATACTTAAGGTCTAATCTCATCTGGTTCCCCTCAGAAGAACGTACTTAAGGTCTAATCTCATCTGGTGGGTGCATATAAGGAGCTGACCCCTCCCACACCTGGAGCCCCTGACACACTTTACCAGGTAGCCGCCACAAGGGTGAACTGAACTGATTCAAGGAATAATGGCCCTGAAAAGCCAGGTCCCCAAGCAACACACTTTGGGTCTCACACACTTCCCAACTTGATTGAATCCGAAGGGGAACCTTAAATTATAGGGAATGAGGCCTCTAAATTAGCTAAAACCCCAGCAGCTGAGGAACATGAAGTTCCACCTTTAGAAACTCCGGCAGGGTACACGCAAAATACTTATGGCAAATCGTCATGCAAATATTCAAGTGGACCACTACAACCAAAGTAGATTCCAAGTTACAAAGGCCTAAATGGGGATCTTTTGAGATGCCCAATTTAGTGTGCCTGCAAACCAGAATGGAAAACGTGGGCACAAAAACTAAGAAACCAGAATGAGAGAGCTACTTTCATGGTACCTGGAGAGTACCAAATCTCTCTATGCATAGCTAAAGGATCTTTCCCCCGACTTGCTACTCTCTAGGTACCATGAAAGTAGCTACAGGAAGCCAACAAATAACTTAACCTGCCAATTAAGAACTCTCTATAATCTTTTATCTCTCTTAAAGAAATCCTCCAAATCCCTTCCCCCTTATTGCCTCCCCTACCTCCACCTACACCCCCACTCTACCCTTACCTCTCTGAACTTCCTGGACCAGACCTCTCCCCTCCTTTTCCTTCAGGTTCCAATCTACCATATTCTCCTCCTTGCCTGCCACTCACTGAACCGAAGGCAGTAGGGACTCTAACTTCCAAGACCCTACTTCCTGCCGATTCTCTGGTAACCCCAGTGGCAGCCTCTCATCTGGAAGATGTGGAAAAGGGGGACACCATAGGGACGTCTCTCATGATCAACCTGTTTTGGAAACAACCGTTAACAGTTAGGGGAACCCCCGTGATTGTCTATGAACCCTGGTCAACGGCTGAGTTGCGAAGCACAAAGAATTTCCTGCCTCCCGTAAGATCCAATTGGGTTTGCTCAAGAGTTTGAGCTGATTATCAGAACCTATGACCCAGGTCATTCAGACCTTTATCAGCTGGTCCACATACCGGTCTCAGAAGCTAAAGCTAAGTGGCTGGAAAAACACAGTGGTCAGACATTGTAGCAGACCTGACCCCTAAAGGGCCAGGAAGATCAAACGAACCAGCCTCCCCGAATCCTGAAGACAGGTGCAAAGATGCTCAGGAACTAACTACTGTTCTGTTAAATGTCATTCCTTCAGTGTCCCAAAGGGTTGTGGATTGGATAAAATCCAACAATGCTGCCAGAACCCAGATGAATCAGTTTTAGATGATTTCACACGTTTTGATAAAACTTTTAGACAATATTGCGGGATGTCAGCTGATTGCTATGAAAACAATACAAATGCTACATTATTAAATGCAAATTTCTTAGACTAGGTGATGATTTAGCCACCCTTATAAAATGTAACATGATAAATTGGGCCACAGCCAGAACTAATGAACTAGTTAACTTAGCTGACCAATTATCCTGCACTGTGATAAAAAGGAAAAACTAAAGATCGCCCAAGTTATGCATTACAGTTAAAGCAATTAACTTTTCAAGCATCTCAGGCCCAGAAAGATTTTAAGCTCTTAGGTCTGAGGACTCTTCCCTCCCAGTCTGTTACTACTGTGAAAGACCAGGACACCTTAACAGGGATTGCATTAGGCTGAAATGAAAGAAAAGGCAAGAAAATGCAACTCAGGAAGACTAGGGATGCTCCCAGAAAGTACAGGGGTTTCACTGCTCCAAATATTCTACCCTGACAAATTGGGAGAGATTAATATAATATGTTTATCTTTATTATATTGTTTTATATTATATCTATTATAAAAAACATGTTTATCATTATTAATATAACAATAAACCATGAGCTTCCAACTGCCTGAATTGACACAGGCAGTGACTATATCTATTATAAATCCCACCTAATTTAGAAACCCCGTACCTCAGAGTAATGAAAGAATGAACAAGGTGGTGTGTCTATAAAACTATCTCATGTTTTAAGTCTAAACCTAAACCTTCCCGTTTCTTTGGGTTCAGATCCCCCGCCCTGGGCTTCAAGTGTGACATGCTCAGTTGGTCCCTTGTGTTTCTAATGTGCCTGCAGCCCCTGTCAGTCTTTTGGACTGTGATCTCCTCAACATCCATAATGCTCATATCTCTTTTTCATCGAAAGGTGAACTTTTTCTAGAATTGGAGCCAGGGACTAACAATATCAAATTAAAAAACATCCTGATAGCCAGACATAGTTGCTCATGCCTGTAACCCCAGCACTTTGGGAGGCCGAGGCAGGTGGCTCACATGAGGTTAGGAGATCAGCCAGGCCAACATGGTGAAACCTCATCTTTAGTGAAAATACAAAAATTAGCTGGATATGGTGGCACATGCCTGTAATCCCAGCTACTTGGGAGGCTGAGGCAGGAAAATCACTTGAACTCGGGAGGCAGAGGTTGCAGTAAGCCAAAGTTGTGCCACTGAACTCCAGCCTGGGCGACAGCAGGAGACTCCATCTCGAAAAACAAGTCCTGACAATGCACCACGATTTAGTACTAGTAATATTAAGACACCATCTTGTGACTGGGAAAGGGAAATGAGAGAGAAGGAAATACTAGAAGAGAAGAGAACATTGGAATACAGAGCAGAAAACAGTAAAACTTTTAGCTTCCCCAGTCTTCTGTTAACTCCAGAAGTGACGCATTTGCTTAAGGATGTCCCTTCCCACTTACAGTCTCAGTCAAATACAGATACAGGGAAAATATTCTCAGCCACTCCAATAAAGGTAGCGATAAACCCGAAGAAACCCCTCCCCAACCTTAAACAGTATTCTCTATGACAGGAAGTTATAGATGGAATCGCCCCTACCATACAAGATTAACTGAGAAGGAGACTCACTATTCCCTGCACAAGCCCCTGCAACAGCCCTATATTCTCTGTAAAAACAAAAACAAAAATAAACAAGCCAGAGGGGATGGACATTTATACAGGACTTGAGGACAGTAGGTAATATTGCAATACCCAGACACCCAATAATCCCCAACCCACATATCCTTCTATCAGCTATACCCACTACCAGCCAGTATTTCTCAGTTGCAGATCTCTGCCGTGCCTTCTTTAGTATTCTTGTAGATCCAGACAGCCGGTATTTGTTTAGCTTTACTTGGAAAGAAGGGCAATATATGTGGACTGTAATGCCTCAAGAGTATACAGAAAGTCCCACTTACTTTTCCCAAATATTAAAAGCTGATTTAGAGGATTTAATTTTTCCCCAGGGCTCAACACTCATTCAGTATGTAGATGACCTTCTCCTTTGTTCAGACACACCATCTTCCTCCCATGAAGATAGTCTATATTTACTCAAACAGCCATCAAGGGACACAAAGTGTCCAAAGACAAACTTCAGCTATGCTTGCTGCAAGTTAAGTATTTGGGGGCATATTATCTCAGCCAAAGGACTGAGGATTAACCCTGACAGAGTGAGAAGAATTTTAGCTTTCCCAATGCCTGTCACTAATAAACAATTTAGAGGAGTCTGGGTCCTGCCTGGCTATTGTAGAAACTGGATTCCAAATTCTTTATGACTCAAACTCTGTAGGCATACCTAAAAAATAAACAACTCGATCCTGTCTTGTGGAGTCCTGAGGGACAATCAGCTGTACAACAAATAAAGGAAATTCTAACTAATGCCCCAGCCTTAGGGCACCCAAACTACAAACTGCCTTTCTCCCTTTTCATACACGAAACTGGAGGTAATGCCTCCAGGGTACTGATCCAGAAACATGGTGATCATCAGAGACCTCTAGGCTATTACAGCCAACACCTGGACCCGGTGGCGAGAGGGTTGCCTCCTTGTGTGAGAGTAATAGCAACCATGGCCCTTCCGTACACGTCTGTTGGAGAAATAATTATGGGTTCGCCCCTTACCATTTCTGTGCCACATTCTCTTGAGACCCTTCTAAACTCTCATCATACTCAACGTGTGTCTGTCAACCGGTTAGCTTCTTATCAAATTTTGCTTGTACCATCTTCCAATATTACTACTTCCCAGTATAATAATCTTAATCCGGCCACTCTCTTGCCAGGCCCTTCCCACAAGACCCCTCGTGACTGTGTTCTGATGACTGACTGACTTCTCACCTCCAGGACAGACCTGCAAGAGATGCCACTGGATAATGCTAAACCAAAATGGTATACAGATGGCTCTTATTGAAGAGGAGAGGATGGAAATTTTGGAGCAGGATATGCTGTGGTTTCCTCACATGAGGTCAGGAGTTCAAGACCAGCCTGGCCCACATGGTGAAACCCCGTCTCTACTAAAAATACAAAAATTAGCCGGGTGTGGTGGCGGGCGCCTGTAATCCCAGCTACTTGGGAGGCTGAGGCAGGAGAATTGCTTGTACCTGGGAGGTGGAGGTTGCAGTGAGCTGAGATTGTGCCACTGCACTCCAGCCTGGGTGACAAGAGTGAGACTCCATCTCAAAAAAAAAAAAAAAACCTATTCAAAAACCAAAATAGTTGGCAACCATAAAAATCCCACGTCACTGTAAATTAAACAACACAGAAGGTCAGGGTAACCAATTGGCTGACACCACAGCTAAAAGAGCAGCATTTGAACCAGCCCCAATCCAGGAAATGACCATAAAACCCAAAATGCTTAAAAACATGTGATAAGGTTTGGCTGTGTCCCACCCAAATCTTATCTGAAATTATAGCTCCCATAACTCACATGTTGTGGGAGGGACCCAGTGGGAGATAATTGAATCATGGGGGCAGAGTCTCCCACGCTGTTCTCATGGTAGTGAATAAGTCTCATGAGATCTGATGACTTTATAAGGGAAACCCCTTTTGCTTGGCTCTCATTCTGTCTTGTCTGCTGTCATGTAAGATGTACCTTTCCCCTTGCACCATGATTGTGAGGCCTCCCCAGCCATGTGAAACTGTGAGTCCATTAAACCTCTTTTTCTTGATAAATTACCCAGTCTTGGGTATGTCTTTATCAGTAGTGTGAAAATGGAGTAATACAGTAAATTGGTACCAGTAGAGTGAGGTGTTGTTGTAAATATACCCAAAAATGTGGAAGTAACTTTGGAACTGAGTAACAGGTAGAGGTTGGAACAGTTTGGGGGGTTCAGAAGAAGACAGGAAAATGTGGGAAAGTTTGGAACTCCCTAGAGACTTGTTGAATGGATTTGACCAAAATGCTGATAATGATGTGGACAATGAAATCCAGGCTGAGGTGGTCTCAGATGGAGATAAGGAACTTGTTGGGAACTAGAATAAAGGTGACTCTTGCTATGTTTTAGCAAAGAGACTGGTGGCATTTTGCCCTTGCCCTGGACATCTGTGAAACTTCGAACTTGAGGGAGATGATTTAGGTATCTGGCAGGAAATTTCTAAGCAAAGAAAAGCATTCAAGAGGTGGCTTGGGTGCTGTTAAAAGGATTAAGTTTTTGAAGAAAAACAGGGTGTAAAAGTTCAGAAAATTTGTAGTCTGACGATGAGATAGAAAAGGAAAACCCAGCTGGGCGCGGTAACTCACGCCCGTAATCCCAGCACAGCACTTTGGGAGGCCAAGGTGGGCGGATCATGAGGTCAGGAGATCAAGACCACAGTGAAACCCTGTCTCTACTAAGAAATACAAAAAATTAGCTAGGCACGGCGGTGGGCGCCTGTAGTCCCAGCTACTTGGGAGGCTGAGGCAGGAGAATGGCGTGAAGCCGGGAGGCGGAGCTTCCAGTGAGCCAAGATCACGCCACTGCATTCTAGCCTGGGTGACAGAGCGAGACTCCGTCTCAAAAAAAAAAAAAAAAGGAAAACCCATTTTCTGTGGAGAAATTCAAGCCAGTTGCAGAAATTTGCATAAGTAATAAGGAGTCAAATTTTTTGTTTTGTTTGTTTTTTGAGATGGAGTCTCCCTCTGTCACCCAGGCTGGAATGCAGTGGCCATGATCTCGGCTCACCACAACCTCCCCTCCTGGGTTCAAGTGATTCTCCTGCCTCAGCCTCCTGAGTGGCTGGGATTACAGGTGCCCGACTCCACTCCCAGCTAATTGTTGTATTTTTAGTAGAGACGGGGTTTCACCATGTTGGCCACGATGGTCTCGAACTCCTGACCTCAAGTGATCTGCCTGCCTCGGCCTCCCAAAGTGCTGGAATTACAGGCGTGAGCAAGGAGCCAAACGTTAGTCATCAAGACAATGAGAAAATGTCTCTAGGGCATGTCAGAGACATTCGTGGCAGCCCCTCCCATCACAGGCCTGGAGGCCTAGTAGGAAAAAATGTGTTTTTTTTGTGCCTGGCCCAGGGCCCCCCTGCTGTGTGCAGTCTAGGTAAGGACTTGGTGCCCTGTGTCCCAGCCACTCCAGCCATGGCTAAAAGGGGACAAGGTGCAGCTTGGGTTGTGGCTTCAAAGAATGCAAACCCTAAGCCTCGGCAGCTTCCATGGGATGTGGAGCCTCTGGGTGCACAGAGGTCAAGACTTGAGGTTTGGGAACCTCTGCCTAGATTTCAGAGGATGTATGGAAATGCCTGGATGTCCAGGCAGGAGTTTGCTGCAGGGGTAGAGCCCTCATGGAGAACCTCTGCTAGGGCAGTGCAGAAGAAAAATGTGAGGTTTAAGCCCCCACACAGAGTCCTCACTAGGGCACTGCCTAGTGGAGTTGTGAGGAAAAGGCCACTGTCCTCCAGACCCCAGACTGGTAGATCCATCAACAGCTTGCTCTGTGGCCCTGGAAGAGCCACAGACACTCAACTCCAGCCCATGAAAGCAGCCAAGAGTGGGGTATACCCTGCAAAGCCACAGGGCAGAGCCCAAGGCCATGGAAGCCCACTTTTGCATCAGTGTGACCTGGATGTGAGACATGATGTCAAAGGAGATCATTTTGGAACGTCAAGGTTTAATGACTGCCCCACTGGATTTCAGACTTGCAGGGCCTTTAGTCCCTTCGTTTTGGCTAATTTCTCTAATTTCGAATGGCTGTATTTACCCAATCACTATACCCCCATTGTATCTAGGAAGTAACTAACTTACTTTTGATTTTACAGACTCATAGGCAGAAGGGACTTGCTGTGTCTCAGATGAGACTTTGGACTGTGGACTTTTGAGTTAATGCTAAAAGGACTTTGGGGGACTGTTGGGAAGGCATTATTGCTTTTGAAATATGAGGACATGAGATTTGGGAGGGGCCAGGGATGGAATGGTATTGTTTGGCTGTGTCCCCACCCAAATCTCATCTTGAATTATAGCTCTCATAATTTCCATATGTTTTGGGAGGGATCTGGAGATAACTGAATCATGGGGGCAGTTTTTCCCCATACTTTTCTCCTGGTAGTGAATAAATCTCCCAAGAGCTGATGGTTTTAGAACTGGAAACCCTTTCATGTGGCTCTCATTCTCTCTTACCTGCTACCATGTGACTGGAGAAGCCTCATAAAACATGCAAACAGTGCAGATTTCAACAATCCTGAACCAGCAAACAGATGGTCAAGCAATCTGCAAACCCTGTGGCACATCTTAATCTGTTAGGTCCTCGTGTCCAGGTGCATGCTGATGAGAATACTTTCCACCAAATCCGGGCTGCCCTCCTAGAGTGATGGGAAAGCAAAGGGGTTACGTATGGCACAACCTGCAGTTCCATTCACCAGGTAAAGATGTGAGTAAAATGCTAGAAACAGAAAGCCACTGAAGAGTTGCCTATAGAGTCCAAACTCACGTAGAAAAGGCCTTGTCCCTCAAGGCTTTCATTGTCAGCAACAAATCTGGTATTGAGATTGCCAAGAATGATTACTCAACCATTAATTTTGCAGAGTAAGAGGAACCAATTTTTAAAATGAGGCTGGGTGTATGGCAGCTCTGAGCATGCCCACATTTAGTATGAAAATGAATGGCACCCCCATTCTAGGAGACCTCTGCCTTTTCCCTAGAAAACCACATAATTATGAAAATGGATGGCACCCCCATTCTAGGAGACCTCCGCCTTTTCCCTAGAAAACCACATGATTCTTCCACCCCCTAATTAGAAGAGCACATAAAGTTAGAAACTCAAATTCCTTTGGGCACGACTTCTGTCCTAAGTGTGCGCTTTCGCTTTGCAATAAAAGCTTCTGTCTTTTCACTTCATTGACTCGGTCCTGAATTCTTTCTCACCATGGTTCCAAAAACCCTGGACACCAGCTGTGGCTGGCATCTCACAGGCATCGGTAGACCTTCTTGAACCCTCCAGCAATAGGTGAGGGACAGGAA